ATTACCAGTTCAACTTGGTAAAGGAGAAGGAAAAGCAGTCATTAAGAAGAAAGGGATGGAGATCTGGCAGAAAAGGTGGGAGAAAGACCAGAAAGGCAATTAATATTCATAAAGAAAGAAACAGAAGGGAGGAAATCATGATGGCTAGACTCCGAATAAATCACACGGCTTTGAACAGTATACCTGTATATCATGGGGAAAAGTGACAGTAACAAGTGTGGGAACTGTGCAGTCAAAGAAGATGTAGAACATATATTGTTACATTGTGACATCTATAAAGCGGAAAGAGAACAATTAAAGGCTAAAGTCTTAGAGGCAGAGAGGGAGTGGAGTGTGGTTGGTGTTTTGGGAACAAAAGGAGAGGGAGTAAAAGCTACCAGAAAGGCACTGTTTAAATTCTTGAGTGAAACTGGGGTAGGAAAAAGAATTTAACATGGTCAGGAAAGAACATAGATTTGTTTTGTTTTTTGTTTTATTTATTTAATGGTTTTATTGATTTATTGATTTATTTTAATTTAATTTTGATTAGAACATAGGTTAATGAGTTGGAATGATGTGATGATGCATACTCATGTACAGTAGGTGGCGGTATGCACCTTTTAAGTTGTTTGCAATCCGCCAAAAGCAAGAGAAGAAGAAGAAGAAGAAGAAGAAGAAATACTAGCAGCGCAGTAGAGTTGGAGCATAATAGGCCGTTTGTGATGAACTTTTAAAGGTAAGACTTTTAAAGATTTAGATTGGATAATATCAGCACATCTGAATCCAATGAACATGTGCATGTTAGTGGATTATCCCCCACTAAATTAGTAGATTTAGGGGATACCGGATACAGTTAGCAACCTACGTGAAACATTAACAGCTTATTCATTGTAAATCGCTGGAACTGTAGCTTTCCCGCGGTAGTGGTACCTCTTGTGAGACTTTACCCAACTCACAGCAGCAAATAGCAGCTGGACTTTGTGTTACACTGTGTGGGATTGGTGGATTCGTGTGTCCATCAAGGAAATCTCGGCCGGCAGCCATGTCGGTCTGAAATTACCAATGGACACAAAAAAAAACATTTAACACACGTTTCTCCCATCAGTTTGTCTGTGTGTGGAAGAGAGAGGAGACAGAAACATGGCTAAAACCACCGTTGCCGCTGAGCTAGAGATCATTTTGGCTAGCAGTAGTGAAGATGATGGTGAATCAGAACCTGAAGGCTTTGACTCATCGGAAGAAGAAGAATACTGGGACAACAAGGATCCATTTGAAGATGGGTAAGTGTAAATATAACAGTAATAGTGCACTTTCCATTTGAGGGATATACCCATAGGATATACTGCGAAAATGAACTTTTTTTGAGAACAAAAAACTCCATTAGTCAACTTGTACTCTGTGTAAAAGTTATTTTGGTGTGTAAAAATGAGGTGTATATGAGTAAGATAATCCTTTATTCGTCCTACAACGGAGACATTTATAGTGCATATAGACATGTTTTTGCAATCTATATTTTTTATCATACTGTTCTGTACAGATGAGACTTTGTCACAGATATATTTATGTGTGCCTGCCTGTGATTGTTTTTACCATACTATTCTGTAGAGATGAGACGGAGACAGAGAGAGAGAGAGATCAATTAACTAGTAGTAATTATTATTGTCCTACATTTTAATTTGTTTTACAGGGAGGATTCACAGCAGCCAGAACTTCCATCGGTGCCTGCCACCATGTCAAGATCTACCGCTGATCAAGGTCCAGCAAAGAGGACTCGTAGAGAACACGTACTTCCCACAGAGCCAATAGCAGCCCATGTACCATCATCCCCACCTACACAGCAGCCAGCGTCACTGTCTTGGAAGACAGACAAAGACCCCGACACTGCACCCCCTGTCCCCAGTTTCAAACCTGCTCGCACACCCGGGCCACAGCTCAGCTCCAGATGGAAATACAAATCCTTTGACCTGTTCAAACTTTTTTTCAGTGCACAAACAGTACAGACAATTTGTATCAACACAAACAAACAAGCTGCAAAGCAGATGGGAAACGGGAAAAAATACAAATGGATTGATTTGACTGTAGATGATTTTTATAAATACATGGGGCTGCTTCTATACATGGCCCTGCTGAAACTGGACACGGTATTGGATTACTGGAGGCAGGATCATTTTTTGTCAGTGCCTCTGCCAGCACAGGTCATGTCACGTGACAGATACAGGACAATATCCTGGAACCTACATCTCAGCGACCCTCATTAGGTGTTGCGCTCGAGAAAAACTTTTTGTCTTTATTTCATTTGGTGACTTTCGAAGTTAGGAGTCCGGGAAAAGGAACTTTTCCTGAAAATTTGTCGGAGTGTGACACAATTGTGTTTTGTGAGTGAGTTATTGGACATCGAAAGTTTGAACGACACAGAAAAAAGGAGTTCGTAGGGCCGACGTAAATTACCGGATTTGGTAAGTCATCTTGCATTTGCGTTGTTTCTTGTGGATACTCACTAACCCCGGAGATCGTAGGCTGTACGATTATTGTCTGTTTGCTTATCGTACGGTCCCATATTTGTCTTTTTTCTTAACCTTGAGTGGACGACGATTGTTCGTATGCGGTGCACCATCCTATGTTTACAAATAGTAAGATCCGGACAAATTTGTACGAATTAACGTGTCGATAAAAGTCGCTAGCCGACCGGCCGCGCAGTTTGTGTGTCTGGAATTGTAACAGGATGTAATTGATACTTCTTAAAGCTATATTGTCCCAAAGAGGATGATCAACTAACTCCGAGAGACCACAACTTGCCTGACGGTCGCCAGGTCTCGTCCGGACACACAGTCAGTAGAGGGCAACGGCTCGTACGGCACGATCGAGTCGGTTACAATTTATCATTTAAGAGCGCAGGTCTCTCTCGAACCCCATTTACGTCTGATTTTACTCCAGAGACTTTTCAAGTTTACCTATGAAAATTAATTTTTCCGCGGCCATCACAACTGTGCCTGGTCTTAACAAGCGTCCTTTTCTGTCGGACACTAGACCGAGAGGACTCGTTCTTCTCCCTTCGCTTGGGTCACAGCCCCGTCGCAACCCACGGGCGAATATATAAGGAGACCCGACAGCCCATGGTCTACGACAAGCCTGCCCATGGTATCCAACAGCAAAGGCCCGGCAGAGAACCGGGTTCTGCAATGTACGTAACATCCGTAACACTACCGGACAGCCATTAAATGGGTCCCACGAGCCCCCGTTTAGTGTGAGATGTCTAGTACTGCTGTTGGCTCAAACTAATAAGGATACAGCGATCGCACACTTTTACACACTCTTTGTTACAATTTTTTTGTACTTTTGCTCTTCCGTTACCGGACATGCGGTAACGACATGCCGTTGAGTCCCTCCTGGTCAGGCCGTATGTGCCAGTTTAAGCTTGTAAACTCTTCGTATCCGGACTGTAAGTAAGAAATGCAACCAGGCGAACACCTATATATCATCTTCGCTACTTGATGAGGAGCAGACAAGCAGGATCACAAATTTGTCCAGTCCTATTATAATAGACTGGAAGACCTGAGAACCTGATATGATTAATGTGGGTGTTATGTCAACATCATAGTGTCACGTGACTTCTAAACACTTGTTTGACAATTCGGAATGCCGTGAGTGACATGAGTGACATTGGGTTCCGCCAAAACAAGTAGTGAATGCACATGCCTCCGAAGGCTCCAAGCGCCCGTACTCGACATGTGTAAAAGGGATCTTTGTAACTGTTTTTCGGTACCAACCGTATCTGTCGATGGTAGAGATATAACCGAGGGACTAGAGAGCGTTCTACCTTTCCCCATAATAGGGACCAAGAAAAGCCCGGGGGGGCCACCCCACAAATTCCCGAAACTTGCGCCCCGTGAGCCTGCCCCTCCTTTCGCCGCTACCCGCCCCTCCCGCGGGGGTGGGGGCGGACAAACAAACACAAGAAAACCACCTCCAACAAGAAAAACCAACAAACACCGCCGTGGCCGCGTCCCGCCGCCCGCGGCCCCCCACGCTCCGCGCACCGCCCACTGTACGCCCGCTCAAGCAGCTCACGCTCGCACCTATCCATGATTGGATATAACACTGAAATTAAATATTATAGGTTTGCGTCAGTCCTTCAGTCTATTTAGTTAACCACTACAAAATTTGGTAAGTCATGTCTGGTCTCTCATCAAGTTAGAACACATGTTATATATTTGCCTGATTCATTTTTTTGCTTTACTTATTCCCCTCTTTTCACATCCGTATCATTTAATTTTGACTAAAGCCTTTTAAACTGGCACTTATACTTACCAGGAGAACTCAACGATTTAGTGTCGGGTTAATCCATTCGCAGTCGGTTAACGTTATATGGGCAAAAGTACATAATTTATATGTTACTATATAGTAAGTGTTTTGTTAAGTTTAAGGTGCGACTCGTTTAACCTTAATTACTATTATACCAAAGCAGTTCTTATCTTAGTACACTTATCACTAAACGGGGGCACGTTTGGTGGGGGTTAACCCACTTTATTATTATTGCTATCCTCCGGGAAGTAACTATGTTCTTACTAATGTTCAGACCGATACTCAGATTCGGAAGAGATAAGGGTGTCAGAGTCCTTATAACTACCACTATCCATTTTTATCCTTGGATTCGTCGGTGTCAGTAACCTATACAGGTTACTCCCCAATAGTTAAGCCTTTTTGTCAGACAGTACTAGTCCACACGGGAAAAACCGACTAGCAAAACTGTNCCCTGGTGAGGATGTCCAAAACGACAGCAAAAAGGGCACACCTGATCATGACAGACTGTTCCGATTGAAACCCCTCATGGACAGCATCAAGACTGCGTGTATGTCCTATTACCATCCCCATAAATACCTGGCTGTGGATGAGAGGAAGCTTGACTCCAAGGCCAAGACTGTATTACCCCTGTAATGAAGGCCAAACCTGACCAAGTGGGGATTCAAGCTGTTCGCCTTAACCGACTCGAAGTAAATGGCTTACACACGTAGACTTGTTTCCGTTTACACCGGCAAAGCGACATTCTGCTCCGGACATGGCCTGTCGTATGATGTGGTAATGTCTCTGGTGCATGCAGGTTACCTTGGGACAGGTTACCATATTTACATGGACAATTTTTACACCAGCCCAAAGCTGTTCAAGGCTCTCCATGCCCTAAAGTTCGCTGCCTGTGGGACCTACAGAGAAAACTGCAAGGACTGCCCAAGGACACAGACTAACGCTCTAACAGCAAAATCCAAAAGAGGCTCCCTAAGATGGATCAGGGAGGGCCCCCTGGTATTTGTCAAATGGATGGACAACAGGGAAGTATCCGTCTGCTCCACCATCCATGAAGCATACTCTGGCAACACTGTGCAGAGAAAGCAGAAGCAGAGGGATGGCTCCTGGACCCAAGTAGAGACCCCCTGTCCCACACCTGTTGCCGAGTACAACGAACACATGGGTGGAGTTCATCTGTCAGATCAGCTTATACACCACTACTCTGCAAAGCACAAAACCATGCGCTGGTACAGGAGCATATTTTATCATTTCCTGGACATTGCCACTACAAACAGCTACATTTTGTACAAGGAAATCTGTCAGTCACAAAAGAAAAGGCCCATGACACGCAGAGCATTCATGGGGGAGCTGAGTGCTGAGCTCTGTGGCAAGCCTCTCCATACACCGCCTGCCCGGGGACCTGCTTCTCATCTTCCTGTGTCCATTGCTGATGTCAAGGCATCAGGCATCAGCCGAAAGGCCACCACAGGACGCAGGAGATGCGAACACTGCCACATCCAAGGCATGAGAAAGGACACGCCTTGGAAGTGCAAGCAGTGTGATGTGGCCCTTTGTCTCTTATTGGACCGCAACTGCTTTGAGGCATGGCATGAGGACTGAATCGGAGTGAAAGTGTTTTTATAAATAGTTGAGAATAAAGTTCTGATGTATTGTATCAAGTGTTTTTTTACATCTAGAATACATTGTTGGTTAAAAGAAGTTCAAATGCTCAATTTGTATTTGTACACATCACATGAATATTGGTGTGTAGTATGAAGGCATTAATCATTCCTAATGTATCTCAGGCCCTGCTTTGGTGAAAGTAGAGTGATAAATATTTTATTGAAAATACGAATTTACAAAGTTTCATTTTAGACATGAATTACACATTGATTGGTCTTCATATATTACACTATTTTTTTTAACCTAAGACTTTGATAAACCACCAAAACATTTGGATGACTCGCGTAAATCTGTTTTCACAAGAGTTTTGAAGATTTCCAAAAATAGGGTGTCAATGTTCAGCTTTAGAGCTAATTATCTCATCACACAGCGCTCCAAGGTGAGTGACTTACATTTCTGGATATGTAACAGATGGGGTGCCATTTTATAACGAGTACATTTAAAAGGTGATTTAAGGAGTCTTCTAAAAAAGAAAATACCTATAGAATCCAGAGGGTTAATGTCATTTCATCCAACGTTGTGGAATTAGAGAAAAAGGATTAATTTGTTTTGCGGGATGGAGGGAGTTAAATATTACACAATAAGGAAGAGAGCTATTTTTGAGACTTGGATCCGTTAGAACACACTACCCTTTTTTAAGAATTCAAAGCAATAAAAACGTTCTTTAACCGAGGTAGAATTAGCCTTAAATATGTTAACAAGGCAGGTAAGCTAGCTGTTTACACTAATCCTCAAATATTAGCGGATCTTATTTATAAAAAAAATAACCGCCAAGAACTTCCTGGAACAGAGTCTACGTGAATCACCTGACGATCAAGCATTTTGAACTTCCGTTTACTCTCCTTAAATGGCTCTGAGGGTGAGCGTAGTAAGATGGAAATATGTGTGACAGGATATACATATGGTCTTCCTGATTGAACTTGCGCTAAGCTTCATTAAACTTTCATATTAATGTATTATTTCAGCTCAATTAATTCCTTTGTGTTTACCCATATTGCACTATATAGATCTGCTCATTAAGTGTCAGTTCATGTCAAATTTCCACTCCATAAATAAGACAACTAAGCTATAGTTTAGAATGTATTTTATTGAAAAATAAATACATGATATAGTCATTTCACTCCATAAATAGTATTTACATCTTTATTGATGAAGAATATTGATATCATTCCATACAGTACAGCCGATGTTGCGTTATCATGGCTGTTGACACAATATCAACTCAAGACTCAGAAAAATGTCTCCATCTCTACGACGTGAAACCCCCCGGGACATATTCATGGTTTTTGGGCCTCATTTGTTCTTGGAATACTGCAAATGAAAACGAGAATTAAAAATGACATTGTTTACAGTATTTGTACTTTATTTTGAAATTCAAAAGGCCTTTATTCTTACTTTTGTAAGAATCCAGTCGGCATCTACGACAGCTCTTTGGACGATCATTTGTACCCTCTCCTGGTCGTCTTCATCTGCGTGACTGGTGTAACCCTGGAAACCAAAAACCAGGATGATTAAGGGCTTTGATGCTCACAATGAGGAAGCATTAAGCAGAAAGTGCTTCATCTTTCCAGGCTAGGAAAACCACACTTAACAGGTTTAATGATGTGTCAATAACTAGAAGAATTCAATATAATGAGAGAATGGTATATTATGGAGGACAGGTCTTCTTCCTCATGTAGTGTTTACAGCAAGGTTCAGAAATATGTTTTACTTTGATTGTTCACAGGAAATAAGATCAGAATAGTTTTTTTTAATCATCAATTAATCAAGAAAACAGTCGCCAAATTAATTGACAATAAATATTATTCTTTGAGGCAGCCCTAAGGACTTTTGGCACATTTGTCTGTCAACTACTGGCACGTGGTTGACGATGTGTTTCCGGATCACAGCACAATGTTTGGTAGATTATACTGACGAGAAAACATTCACAGCAATCACTAATAGCTATCTTAATATCTGTTCATCATTATTTTACTTTTAGCTAAGAAAGCAACAACTCAGGATTTTGGATGAGTGTCTCGGTCAAAGACTGTTAGACTTTAGAAATGACAATAAACACATTGGACAGTGTCAGATGTCAGATATAGCAAACCTTTGTACCATGTTTATGGGCAGTACAGATTTTTTTTAAATATGTGCATCTATATTGGCAGCTTTGTTTTTGTTTTAAAGTGACGATTGTTGCCTCAAGCTCACCGTTTTTACTTTCTTTAGACCACCACTCATTCTATGATCTTCATCTGGGTGAGAAGTTTGTCCAGGACGTTGCTGCTACGTTGCAGGCAGAGGTCGCGTTAACCGAATATTTTCCGTATTTTTTCAAGAATGATGGAAACATCTGAAAGCAGTCTGTCATTTTGACAGATTAGAACACAACTCGGAACAGCGCCAAAATGTCCACCAGTGGTCCACATTATATTACATCCTTAGTGGCGATCTACTGTAACTATTATTTAGTAATTCACACGCCTGTCCAGTTGGTGGCGAGTGTGTGCATATTAAGTAGTTATTGTCTAGTGTTGTATTTGACCTCGATGATTACCTCGTTGTTTAACCGGCTTTAGCAATCGCAAAATGTCACGGCAGCTGATCGTCCGAAGCTTTTTTAATAAGCCCAGTAATTGTGATGGTGTGGATAAACGAGGTGAAAAAAGAGGGATTGATGCGGTGGAGGATGACGGACAAGCCAGTAAGACTAAAACTGACAACGTTCAGCCAGCAGCAGAGGGGCAAGCAAGCGTCAAGGAAAAATAAATCATTCATATTTGTTTTGACATGAAAAGTGACCGCACGGTCGGTGTCTCTGTTCATCTTTTTTTTTCTGCATGCCCTTAAAAGTTCTGTAGGAATCATTAAAAAAAAAGGAATGAATGAACATTTGCTGCTTAGTACCCAAACATAAATATGTCTCATCATTAAAACATAAAAAATAAAATGACGGGTAATAATGGATTATGACAGAAATGTTATGATCCTCGAAAAAGTGTAACGCTACCACTGGTTGCAGGCACAGACGCTCAACAATGGCAAATAATTTGAAGCAACTAAATACAATTTCTTTGGGCCAATTCAGTGAAGTTTGAACATTTCCCACAGCTCACCTGACGATCTCTCACGGAGCACTGGTGTGCTACGGCACAGTGGATACATATCACTGGTCTACACAGTATGGAAGTGTATGCCAGTTGGTTAGGTTAAAATTGTAAGCTAAATGACATGTAATGTAATGGTCTAGTTGCCAGTATAGTGAACCTGGAAATGTATAGTAGGGGTCCCCAGCACATAGAGACTGACAGATGCTTACTTGCATATTTTGGGCAATTTGCACAATTAGCATAAGTTGCCTTCATTTAAATGAATGGCATTATATCCAACGTGGACAATAGTTATAAAATGAGTGGTTTTTGGGGGTTATGGAGGATGCCATTTCTGACATTATCTGGTTTAAAAATGGCAGTTATAACCAGAAAGTGGCCATATTTCTACTCCCGGTGGGCTGATTTTGACTACCATTAGTAGTGTCGCAACCATTGGAATTAGAGAGAAGAAAATGACAATTATTATTTCTAATAATTATCATCTTCAAATAAATAGGCAATCTGTCCAATTCAAATGAACCAGAGTCCACTAAATCTTCCAAATCGACCAAAGAACGTTATAAAAATCAGCCCACAGAGTTAAAATATTGGCATTTTCTGGTTAAAACCGCAATTCTTAATATTGAAAATGTAAGAAATGGACTCGGCATCCTCAATTTGCCTAACATTAAACTTAAGTGTACTCGACATTTCCAGGTTCATTACAGGACTCTCAGCTGGCAACTTGACTATAATGTACAAGAACATTTCAAAAGCATGTATCTTGAAAGCAGTAGCTGCACATGGCGTCCTCACCTGTCTGATGGCGTGCCGGTAATGCTTCTGCATGGCTTCTGTGGGTAACTGCCTGCAGCACCGGAGGAGGTGTCGGTACAGCTGCACCGGTTTCAGCTCCGCTCCAACTAAAGGTAGCATTGTCCCTCCTTTGGTTAAGTTACTGTGGATACAAATGGTGGAATCTTTTTTACCCTAGGTATAGACTTTCTGCATATTGAAACTGATTTGACCAACTCTGTATTTAATATGCCTCCCTTTATGTCCGTTGCATTTGGAACAGAACAAAATAAAAATCATGGCATACATTTTTATTTCAGGATGTGATAATGCATCATGAATTTCCTGAAAGTTTGCTTTCATTTAGTGGGAGTTCAGTTAAGTGACGATGCAAAACACTTTTAAAAATCACTT